AAGTTTTTGCATAGGGAGGGGGGAGGGAGCAATAATCAAATAAAATAAAAATAAATAAATAAATAAATAAATAAATAATGGAACATGCTAGCTCTGATACCAATGTTGAAGTATGTGGGAAGAGATGAACTCCAAAACTCTGAGGATTACTAGCGGTGTCGTGAGACTGAGGATCGCAGAGTGGACGATTTTTCTGAACAATGGAAACTCTCTGTATCTCTGTGTGTACGTCTCCATGACCATGAAAGGCCTAGCTATAGAGGATGGAAGTCGCCGTTCTTCAACGTTCAACTTTCTCCTTAAACTCTAAGAAATGTGGCCCTGTAATCTTGAGACATGGTGGTTATTTTCTACTCGTTAGATAACATGACTCTCTCTCCTCGAAGGGCCTTTATTTAGTGATAAACATAATATTTATGATAAAGATTAAAAAGAGAAAAAATAGCATATATGAGAGCCCCATGGCCACGCATACGTATCAACATCCACTACCTGCTTTAGTCCCCCCGCAGCAGTCCTTGGTGGGCGCCACCGCCTCTCCCTGCACATACGATAATCACGTCGCCAGCCCCATCAGCTGCTCCGTGCACTTTTTCCTGTCCTCCCCCAGGTCACCTCCCACTTCCCCTACCCTTCCTAAAACCACCACCACCACCACCACCACCGCCACCACTGCCTCCCACTTCCCCTCCCCCCTTTACCTAAAGGGAGAATCCCAACTGAACCATAACACAAACCCCCTGAAACCCACCTCAAGAAAATCATTAATCCTCATTCTCCGGCGAAAGCTTCCGGTCAAATCATCCGATAATAAATTCACTCTAAATTTTAGCCCTCTAGGCTTTAACGATACACAACCCAAAATGCAGAGAGCTCTTTATATATACAAGCCCATGTTCAGTCCGGGTTGATCTCTCTTCCAGGTTCTCTAATGGCTTCCTTGTGTCGAGCTTCAAGGACCCCTAGACCAATGTCTTTGGTTTTACTTTCTGGATCCTCTGTATTTGGCCCCATTTTTCATGATTTTGGAGGAAATTTGAAGTTGAGTGGCCATATTTCTAACCATTTTTATTTCTCCCAATCTTGTCATTCCCGCAGAGAAACAATCATTGACTTGAGCCAGTTCCGGCCTGAAAGAATCAGGATCTTCTCGATCATTGCTCATGTCGATCATGGGAAGTCGACTCTGGCGGATAGGCTTTTGGAGCTCACTGGAACCATCAAGAAAGGGCTTGGTCAGCCGCAATACCTTGATAATAAATTCTGGTAACCCCATTACAGGCCGAGAGTAAGGGCATGATAGCAGCTAGAGAGAAGGTAGGTAAGAAAAAGAAGAGAGAGTTCTGAGCATGACTAGTCTAGAGAGAGAAACACATGAGGAAAGATTGAAACACGTGATGGAGAGAAGTTACGTTTAGAAATTGGGGGGTTAGAAGCGTTTCGAAATTTTGGATTTAGGAAGAAACGAAAGTTGAAAATGGGGTCTATGGAGATATTTTCCCTTTAAAAAACACTGCACCTCATGTCGATTCTATCAATATATATGAAATTATTCGGATCTAGAAGAAAACCAATGATTTACTACAGTAAAATGTCGTTTTATTACAGTAAAAATGCCGATTCACCGATTCAGACCGGTTGTTGGCCAATTCACTATTTTTTCCTGTGTTTTTTTGCCAGTTCACTGTTTTTTCCGTACAATAAAAAGGCGATCTGGATGGCCGATTCACTAATCCAGACTAATTTTTGCTATGCCCTATCCGGTTTTTAAATCACTGGATAGGACCATTTCAATATTGGTAGACCATAATCTATTTTCCAAGATTTAAAACCAAGGTTCTGTGATTTGGATCGCCCCTCCAAATTTTTGATCTGGTTTGGTGGATCGGCAATCTGAATCCTTGAATTAGATATTAACTGCATGAAGGAATTTTTTTCACCGTGAAAATATTTTTTAAAAAATATTTCACGCGAACTAACCATGCACTAAGTTTAAATTTTAATAGTTCAAGCGAATCTTGGTGATTTAAATTAAAAGTGTGGTTTGCAACCTTAAACAATTAAAGTAAGGTGCTCAACCAAATTTTATCATAAGATATAATTTTGACATAAAATTTCTTAGAACAACATAAGAATCTATTTTCATCTCCAATTATAAAATTTTAAATTCTAAAAATAATTCAAATCAAATAGATTTATAAACATATAAATCTTAAAAATAAACAGTTCAAATGTATTGCAAAATGCACCATTTTTTAAACTTAAAATCTTTTATCTTTATTTTTATTTTCTATTTTTTTTCGTATTTATACATCTCGATTTTGAGAGGGTTTTCCAACTTTAAAATAACATTTTATGACGGACTTTTTCGGTGCACCTGCACCCTTATATAAACTTTGCACTAAAAATAACGACTCCATTTTGTTATTGATGAACTTGTAGTTTTTGAAATTTCTTTGTTTAAATTCGATAACCACATACATAGTTCCAGTCAACTTGGTCAAGCTGATAGAGTATAATGCTGTAATTTATGTTTGGGAGATTGTTAAAGCGTTAGAGGAAACTAGGTTTCTGTAACAAAGTCCCAAAAAAAGGATCGACCTTGTTATCCATGTCTACTGGGTTTCCCATTCGTAGTCTTTTCCGAGTATCAAAGCTCCATTTTTTTAGTTCTTTGCACTTTCCATCTTTCATTTGAATCTCCATGGAGATTTTGAGCGAGGAAGAGAATTAATTTTGAGCTGGTGACAGAAAATGGTTATAGGATATCTTTGATGGGTTTGCTGTGAAATTAAAGAAATTAGAGGTGGGTTTTTCAATTTTCATAGCCTGGGTTTGCTGTGAAATTAAAGAAATTAGAGGTGGGTTTTTCAATTTTCATAGCCACAACAGTTTGTGACTTCTTGACCTATTTGTGAAGGATCATGGCCACTGGTTTGCGACTCCAACTGGTGGGCTATTTTGAACACAATGGTGGTAGCCGGAGCTTGAGCCTCAAGCGTGTAAGGAATTGCACCAATGATGGGTGACAAAGTTGTCGAATTGGGAGGTTCAGATCAGAAAGAGTTGGCAGGAAGCTAAGCAATGGTAGGTGAATTGGGGGGTTTCGAAGAGAGAGTTGGTCCAAACCCCCAATTTGACTTCGGCACCTATCATTACTGCAATTCCTTGCACATTTGAGGCGGAACGATGAAGTTGTCAAATTGGGGGGTTTGGATCAGAGACTTCCAGCCAACTGATCCAAAGTCCAAACCTCCAATTCGACAACTTCATCACCTACCATTGTTGCAATTCCTCTCGCTTGAGGCCCAAGATCAAATTACCACCATTATAACACAACAAACATAGCCCACTAGTTCAATCGAAAAGATCAGAAGATTCAGAACCTTCAATTATAACTTTTAATCTGAAGTCTAAACCATAGAAAAATACAAAAAGGTTCAACCAGAAAACTCTGTTTCTGATACAAAAGAGACAAAAGTACCTCGACATTTTTCCTGTAAACTTCAGAGTTTCAGAGGCTGTTTAAAGGCACTCATATGCATTTCTTGAAAATTTTGAGGGAATACACATGTTCTTCCATTGCAGAGGTCTCTGCACCTTTGAAATGAGTATCCAAGTATGCATCAAAAAATTATAACTCAGAAAGTGCAGAGCTCAATTCCTCCACAACATCTATACTGTTCAAGATCGGAGGATGACACCAGACAAACCTTTTGAACTTAAAACTGGCTCCGGGCCTGTTGGCCTTTCATCACCAAGCACCTAAATGTGTTCTCAATAACACCCAGTTCCTACATTTTTGCCTTTTACATCCAAGAATCAACTGATTTCCCAACAATAGCCAATGTACATTTTCTTTTTTAGCGAATTTCATGTCCTTATGAAGAGTATTTTCATCAAAAAAAAGATTGCTGCGATTCATTTTTATTCTGATCCTGAAAAAGTAATCACTTCATCCCTTCCACAATTCTGAATGTTTGCACTCTGCTCAGGACAGTTTTCGTGAATTTTCCATTTGATGAGGTATGGGAGTCCAAAATTAAACACTAACCTCTAAGTTCTTAAAGGCTACGGATTCTAAAGAAAACAGGTTTTGCCGAAATTGGGATTCATTTTGTGGATTCAGGACTCAAAACTGATCCAAAGGCATTCTTTGCTATAGATTTGTATTCTCAGATTTGCAGATAGATAAGCACCTACCCAATTATATAAATTCATCCAATCTCGAGACTGCTTTTATGAAAGAACATTCTTCCTATAATTTAGGTAAATGGAAGAGAGTGAAGCCCCCAGAGACACCAATACAGCAGATGGAGAAAGAAGTTTAGTCCTGGGTTCTTTCCAGTTTTACTCTAAAACTTATTTGCTGTTCCCCTCTAATTCCCTTCTAAGAACTCTTTGGTTTGTTGAGGAACTACTGAAATTTAAATTTAAATTGAAACTTCTGGATGAGATCACAAAAGAGAAGTTACCCAAACTGCTCCCAGGCTTACAGCTAAGTTCCACCAAATTTAGCTTCACTGCCAATCTCAATCAAGAATATCAGAGTTCTACAATTAACGGTCACACACCTACATCGAATTAATTCGACGAATAAGCCTAGAATATACTTCATTGGGATGTAACTTTAGCCCAGAGTGGGTTGAATATTCAGCCAATATTGTATGCCAAGAACATAACCAAATATGGAGATATTTAGATAATTTCAAAAGGAAGTGGAACAATAAAATCTATGCAAATAAAGTTTAGCTTCAAATTCCTAAGACAAGGAATCAACGCCACCAGTTCTAATTTGAGGCCAGAAAGCACTATCACGAAGATGAAAATTGCAGCAATAGAGAGAGATTGAAACTAACGGTAGTAATAATAATACAAGAAAGAGAGAAAAATAAAAAAAAAAACGGAAATGCAACTAAAAGTTTTTGAAGGGAAATGCAACTCTGTAATTCAAGAAACACACTCAACATTCAGAGAAGATGAAGGTGACCTATTTATACAAAAACTATGAGCTATTTATACAAAAACTAACTTCACATTTCAAGCCATTAACAAAGATTTACATCCACATCCTGTACAATCCAAGCCACTTGAGCAAAAAGTACCCAAGAAATTAAAAAAACCAAAACCCCAAATCTCACAGACCCAACAAAGCACACAGAACAACATAGCCAAAACAACCAAGAACCAGAGCACCCAAAAGTTGAAAAACCCACCTAAACAACCTCTCTCTCTAAGCTCAAGCAACCTTGACCTCAACTGTCCTCGGCTCCTTCGGCTCGGGGGGAGGCACCTTCTGAACAGTCACAGTGAGAACCCCATCGTGGTAAACAGCTGAAATGGCCTCCACATTCGCATTCTCAGGCAGATTGAACTTCCTCATGAATTTCCCAACCCTTCTGTCCATTCTCACATATTTGGCCTCTTGATCTTCTTTCTCCTCCCTCTTTCTCTCGCCACTGATGCTGAGAACCCTGTCGTCTTCGACCCGAACCTTGATATCAGCCGTTTTGACACCAGGCATGTCGACTATGAAGACATAGGAATTTGGGTACTCAATGATATCGACTGGTGTTGAGGCCATGGCTTTGGTGTCTTGAACATAGGTGCGGGTGGGCGCGTTCAAGAGCTTCTCCAACTCATCTGGGACTTTCAGGAGGCTCGAGAAAAAGGGCTGCTGCATTATCAGCTCCATTATCTCTCTCTTTTAAGGTTTTGTGAGCAGTTGCAGAGAAATGGTGGTGATTTGAGAAGCTTATAATCGTGGGATTGGAGAGAGAGAGGAAGCACGAAAATGGTTGATGAGAGAGAAAGGGGAGGAAGGTTTGTTCAAAAGGAGGCGTGGGAGAAGGCGAGAAGGTTCTGGTTTTTGGAGCAGGAATCGTCGAGAGCGGAGAAGAAAGTTCACGTTACTTCTCTCTCCTTGTCATGACCCTGCGATTCTCTTTCGAATGCCCACGTGGAAAGCTTGGCACGTGCATCTAAGAGGTGCGGTGTTTTATACCGTCTCTTTATTTTGGTGTGGTCTGGTGTGGTGTTTCATGCAATCTGGGTCGGTATTCAAGCCAACTCATTAGAAAGTTTCTAAAAAAGAGTTTCGTTAAGGTGCTCGTCATCTAACTTATAATATTACTTAACGAATTTGTACGCTTACATACACATTTTTATAGATTTTTAATTTAGGTTATTTTTGTTCATTAGGAATACGTGACATCGGCTTTATGAAACACATTAAATGCCATTAGTATACTCCGTGTGGGTGATGTCACACCTTTTATAATGATAAAAAATACCCTTATTAAAAAAATGGTTCAATTGGCATACAGATGCATATTTAGCTGTAACGGTAAGGTGCACCTTCAAATTTTGTCATGGTATATAATTTTGAAGTAAAATGTTCTTAGGATTATTTCAAATTCTATTTTTATATCTAATTATAAAATTTTAAATTTTAAAAATGGTTAAAATCAAGTAGATCTATAAACATATGAAAATCTTGAAAATGGATGGTGTAGATAATATGTTGTAAAATGCACTATTTCAGAGACTTAAAATCTTTTTATTTTTCATGATCGTACATCTCGATGTTGAGATGATCAATCAAAGGGTTTTTCAGCATTAAAACTACCTTTTCAATGGATTTTTGAGGTGCATCTGTAGTTCTACATTATAAGGTTGCATCCTTATATAAAATTTTTTATTAAAAAAATGCTCTATAAACAAAACAATAGTATAGACGTGTCCAAAATTTGTTGAGTACAATGATACATTAATCCATAGTGTGAGCATTCTAACATAACACTTAAAAAAAAAAGAAAAAAAAAGGTAGGGCTGGTTCTGATCGATTGTCCAAGGGTCCATTTGGATCTCTGAATTTTTCAATCCCGTGGAAATATGTATCCCAAAATTGGTATTTACTAAAATTGGCATTTTCTAAAGGATGCGGTTAGCATGCGGCCAAGCATGCACATGTAGAAATGCAGGCTTGGTAATAAATATAAAATTTAAATATAATTTGATTTTAATTTTTAGATAATATATAATCTTTAACACGGAGATCATGAATATGAATAAATAACTAAATTATGAAAACTAGAAATAACAATTATATCAAGAAAACTTTTGGACCGTTAGTTACAATTGGTTTTAGATGATTCACCTATTTGGACCGTTAGTTACAATTGTTTTTAGATGATTCACCTATTTGCATCCATCTTTAAGATGGATGCTTTATACTTCTGGCCCGCATGTTGTAGAAATGCGGTCCAACCTGCATGAAACAATTGTTCTGTTCTAAAATATGTGTATATGCTGTTTGGATAGCATATGGTAGAGATCAGAAAGATGCAAATTCATTGTCTGGATTGACTGGAATATGTTTTTTCTGGAAATTTTGAATTTTTATAAATTATTATTATTCTAAAAAATTAACCATTTCCAATATTGTGATTATTGAATCATTTTTTCTATTTTCTAGTATTTGTCCAAGTGAGACACATTTCAAAATTACCGAGTTTGCAATGTCATTTAAATAATAGACCCAAGTAGGTCCTACCATATATAAATATTCACAAATTACATTGCTTAAAACAATTGATATGGAAGTCCACCAAGCACCATTTTCAATCCATATTGAAAACTCATGTTCTAAATTATTCCAAAATTACATCATTAGCATAACATAATCATTTCATTTATTAGCGAGTAGCGAGATAAAAAGTAAATAGAAAATTGACTTATTCCAAAATTATATCATTACTATAACATAATCATTTAATTACTTCCCATGCGCATTCTAAACCCCATTCGTCTCGTAGATTCATTATAGAATAATTTTGCTTCTTCTTCTGTTCCTTCAAATGATTCACAACCAATATTTCATTCATTTGCAATTGGGCTTCCCAACCTTTTATTTTCATCTTTCTCACCGCAAGTTTCTATATCACTGACCTACGTAAAACCATCATTATTGCTCCCTTTTACTTGTGATTCCACTGGTGCATGTATACTACTTATAGGTGCCTATTGTCATTCAAGGAAAAAACCAGCAAATATATGAGGTTATATAAAAACAAGGACAAAACCAACAATTGAGCATTATCGTGTGAGAAATGTTCTATCTACTATTGAAATACGACATTATGATGACATAGTACATACCTAAAACTCATATTTTATCAAGCTGATCAAACCCATAACCAAAAATTCCATCCAAAAAAAATCTTATTTGCTTTTTTTTAACAAGCTCATCAAACCCATAACCAAAAATTCCAAAAAAAAAAAGAAAAAGAAAAAGCTTAGATTAGCATAGAGCCAATACAGCTTAAAAAAGTATTGGTGCCGAGCAGATTTGTGCTCATTGCAAACCCAAATTATGAAGAAGCCAATTGAGAGCTCATCAGATAAAGTCAATTGGTGGAGAAAGCTTATATTGGGCAAGCCAATGGCAACAACTTCCTCTTTGCAATATATTGTGATAAGGGAAGTGTCTTTACTCATGAAGCGGACAACTGAATTAAGATCAAGATCCTTGACAGGGTGGGTGCAGGTACTTTCTGCGTATTTCTAGAGTTGTATGACATTGCAATGCCATGGCTTAGAGCACTGGCAGCTAACGTGAGCAGTACTGTGTCTTTCTTTCTGGTTTGCTTGATTGGGAGGTCCTTGAGACTCATTTACACCAGTATAAGGCAGCCTCCAGGATGGAAATGAAACATTACATATGGCATTTTAAGTCTCAACTAGCTGTTTATGATTTGATTCTCCCATTCTTCCGTGGCAATGGCTGTTTAGTTCTCTGTACGCTGTGCAAGGTCCAAATATTTACCTGAAAAATTGGCGGAAGTATTGCAATAAAAAAAGCACTAGATAAGAACTTGCGGTAAAAAAATAAATTGAGCTTCAAAACCAGTCGAAAAATTACTCTTCGATCCTTAATTTCAGAAAAGAAGACCACAAACAAGAATTGGGTCAACACTTCTCGAACTGACCACTTGAAAAACACCAACCCTGTAACCCTAGAATCAAGCACCCAAAAAGAAGAGACATCCAGGTCAATAGAGAGAAAATTATCACAACCTAACTATTATTAGAAGACGCTACCATTTCATATGATTCAAACAAAAAATAAAACCCCCCATAAATTTCAATGATATGACATTAAAAAATTCAAAAAAAGATTTTTACCCTAAAAAATAGAAATTAAAGATATCAAATTCAAAAAAATAAAAAAAAAACCTCTCGGCAACATGCATAGAGCTAGAGCAGCAACAACAATAATAATAATAAAGTAAAAAAACCTACCAAAATAAAATCATTTTATCAATAAATAGCAAAAACTTTTATACGACAGTTTTTTAATATGCCACGCTAATTAATTCATTTAATTGATTAAAAAGGTGTTGATGGGTTGAGGCTCATTTAATATGACGTAATTTTAATGCGATCATGTTCACATAATTAAACTGACATAAGTTCAACATAATTATATCATTTTTTATTGACAAAAATAACAACAACAATTTCAATATTAATTCTTATCATTTTTTATTTTGATAAGTAATTCTTGTAAATTTATTATTTGTAATTTATTATTTTTAATTATATGTAATTAAAATTTAATTATATGTACTTTACTTTTTGTAAATTAAAAAATGAATATAATTAATCAAAAAATAAACAAAATTTATCTTGTAGACCATTGTAGTGTGACGTTAGTGGTTCGTTGTATACAGGACATTAGTCTATATTTCTATTAGGGTGAGAGAATAATGGAAAGCTTTTAAAAAAGGAAAAAGTTTATATAAGGTTGCAATCTTAAAATGTAGAATCACAGATGCACCTAAAAATCTATCGGTAAGGTTGTTTTAATGTTGAAAAACCCTCTATTTGGTTATCTCGACATCGAGATGTATGAATATTAAAAAAAAAAAGTTTTTGAATCCAAAAAATCGTGCATCTTGCAACACATTATCTAGACCGTCCATTTTCAAGATTTCCATATATTTATAGATCTACTTGATTGTAACTATTTTTAGAGTTTAAATTTTTCTAATTAGATATGAAAATAGTTTTAAGATAATTCTAAGAAGTTTTTACAACAAAATTATATGTTATGATAAAATTTGGAGGTGCGCCTTAATCAGATTGTTTAAGGTTGCAACCTTATAGAAACTGGACCCTTAAAAAGGGTATCCCAAAAGAGAGTGTGTGATGGAAAGCTTAAAACCAATTATCCCACACCTTTGAACAGTGGAGGTTGGTTTTGCCACTAAAGTGCGCTCCGCGTGTGGTTAAGGTTTGTGTCATATGGCGGGCACCAATTAATGAAGCACTGCCATGCATTTCTAAAGGGTGCGGTTCATACAGAGCCTAGGCTCTAAACAATCAAATTAAAGACCAAATTAAGGCCTATCTTCATATAGTATATTCATATAGTGTTGAGAAATGTGGTTTCAATATTAAAAATATTTGTGATAGCCTTAAAATACGCTTTCATCTTTATTTATAAAGTTTAAAGCTTCAAAAATAGAATTGATCGACAGATTTATAAAATCTTGAAAATTGTCGGTCTAAAAATGCGTTACAAAGTACACTATTTCCAAAACTTGAAATCCATTTTTTCTCATGTATATGCATCTTGATGTCGAGATGATCAATTTGGGGATATTTGGGCATCAAAACGACCTATTCTAATTAAATTTTTGAGGTAGGCTCTAATTTTATTGTTTAGAGTCTCAAGCTTTATATAAACTTTTTTCTTTTTTAAATGAATTCTTAGAGTTGCAAATCCAATTTAGGTTCTATGACAAAAAACATATTCTACGACAAATAACGGAAAAGGATCGGTGATGTGTCAGATTTGTGACGTCCCGACAACAC